CAGAGCTGTGTGTAGGACTGGAATAGCAGAGGATGCTTCAGGGCAGAGCTGAGAGGCACTGACAGAGTGGAATAGGAGGGTTACTACTGGTGAAAAATGAGGTGCATTGGCATAGCTGTATGTGGGTTGCGGGCACAGCTGCTGCCCATTCTGCACTGAAATCTTGCCCCCATGATTTGTTTGTCATTCTTATGAGCTCAAAATTCACTCAAATTTTAAACTCAATTTTGAAAGCGCTCCCAATAAAAGAGCACCTGCTCCTGGCTTTAATATTCCCAGATGCATGTGGTGTAGGTGAGGACAGACTGTTTAAAATTCCTTAGCCCCTAAAGCTTTTTTTCTGTGAAATTTCCATTGAAGAAATGCTTTGTCTGTAAAGTAGGTCACAGGGTTTTGCCTAATTCCTGAAAAGTTGTGAAGATTAATTGCGTAAAACAGCCTTGCATTTTCAGTAGTAACTTTCAATTTTGTGCCCACATTTATCTGCAACCACAAAATGTGGTTGCAGACACTGAGTCAAGACCCTTCTGAAAATCAGGGGCAAGGTTTGCAAACGGCTTAGAAGGTGTAAAGTGCTCTATAATTGCTAAGTACAATAGTAGAATATCTTTAATTTTCATGTGTAACTGAACATATTGAGACATTGGTAGTAAGTTGTGTGAAGAATAGTGTGTGGTTCATAGCTGTTGAATAGAATTTGTGCTTCTGAAGTCATCCTGTGCATTCTTAGGGCTTCGAATTGAGCCCAGTGCTCCTGAGATGAAGAGATGTAACATACATATTCCCAACAAGTGCGTTGACTAATTCCCATAGGGTCAGACAGGCTCACCAGCCCATCAACATTTACCAGACTGCAACTCCTCCACAAGAACACAGTCACTGTCAGAGCCACATATGCAGTTTAATAAATTAGTCGAAACAATAGTTAAGAATAAAATTGTCCGACACATAGAAAAACATAAACTGTTGAGCAATAGTTAACATGGTTTCTGTAAAGGGAAATTGTGTCTTACTAATCTATTAGAATTCTTTGAAGGAGTCAACAAACATGTGGACAAGGGGGAATCCAGTGGATGTAATGTACTTAGATTTCCAGAAAGCCTTTGACAAGGTCCCTCACCAAAGGCTCTTATGTAAATTAAGCTGCCATGGGATAAAAGGGAAGGTCCTTTCATGGATTGAGAACTGGTTAAAAGACAGGGAACAAAGGGTAGGAATTAATGGTACATTTTCAGAATGGAGAGGGGTAACTAGTGGTGTTCCCCAAGGGTCAGTCCTCAGACCGATCCTGTTCAACTTATTCATAAATGATCTGGAGAAAGGGGTAAACAGTGAGATGGCAAAGTTTGAAGATGATACTAAACTGCTAAAGATAGTT